GGGGTCATTTTGGGGGGTTTGGTGCTATCCTGGCATTTCAGCGCCTCTGAAACTGTGATAGGTAGTCAGGAAGTGTAATGAGGAAACAAAGCCCTTTAAAAGCCTGAAGGTGTTTATTGGATTTTGGGGTCCTGTACTTGGCTAGACTGCCAAAAAGTCTCTCAGATGTTGTACCCCCATACTTGGGAGAAGTAGTAGAATGTATTTGGGGGGTAATTCCACATATACCCATGGCATGTGTGAGCAATAAATCATCTGCCAATCCCTCCACTGGCTTCCGATTGCCCAACGTATAAAATTCAAAATACTAACATTGACGTACAAAGCTGTTCATAACACTGCCCCAAACTACATCACTGACCTGATATCCATCTACCACCCAAAACGCACTCTCTGCTCCTCACAAGACCTCCTACTCTTCAGTTCCCTGGTCTCCTCCTCCCATGCTCGCCTCCAGGACTTCTCCAGGGCTTCCCCCATCCTCTGGAACTTACTACCCCAATCCATCAGACTGTTACCGACTCTCCTCACCTTTAGGTGCACCCTGAAAACCCATCTCTTCAGGGAAGCCTACTCCACCCTCGCCTAATTGCCGATCTCCTCCACTCTTCCTAGCACTCCATCCCCCACAGCTATCTCCTCCTGTACCACTATCCCCTCCCTCCTAGATTGTAAGCTCCAAGGAGCAGGGCCCTCAAACCCCTTGTTTATTTTATTGTATTGTTACTGTACTGTCTCATGTATTGTCTCCCATTGTAATGTACAGCGCTGAGAAAACTGTTGTATATAAATACTGTGTAATAATAATAATTTAAGTTACAATTTTGTGTAAAAAAAAAAAAAATATTTTCCAAAAATTTGTGGTAAAAAAATAAATTCTTCTATTGATTCAACATGCCTCCCAGCAAATAGTTTGGGGTGTCTACTTTCCATAAAGGGATCATTTTGGGGGGGGGGGGCATTTTATGCCCAGAATTAGAAGTTTATGCCACACATCACTCACTCTTCTAACCACCTGAAGACCAAGCCTTTTCTGACACTTTGGCCCGAATTTACTATTGTGCCTAGACACATTTCTGTGCGCTAAAGTCTACTTTTTAATAGCGACCGTCTACTTTTAGCTGGCAAAGACATTTACTAAAGAGAAGCGTCAACAAGTAGACTCCAAATTGAATTTACTAACGAGACACAGCCCAGGAATCAGACTCAAAAAGCAGACTTGCTAAGAAGCACGTCTAACATCATGAAAAATCACTGCAGAGACATGTTCACATTGAAATTTGCTTTGCCAAATATCAGGACTTCACTTTAAACAATATCTGACATTTCAAAAAATGTTTAAAATGTGTAAAAAAATTTTTTTTAAAGCAAGTTGTCACAGTAAAGAACTAGACTCTTTCCCAGTGTCTATGGCCGGATATAACTGAGCATGTGCAGAACACATTTTAGACGCCTTCTGTGGGCGCTTTCTTTTTAGACCCTGTTCAATAGTAAATCTCACTGTGGATTCCTCTGACAGCCGGCACTCGGTCTCGTCTCCTGTGTGTGGAGTCCTCTGACAGCCGGCACTCGGTCTCGTCTCCTGTGTGTGGAGTCCTCTGACAGCCGGCACTCGGTCACATCTACTGTGTTTAACAAACAGCACTCGGCATATCTTTATGTATTTTAATTTGATTTCCTTAGTTCTATTGATTCTATTTTCTTTTCTTATCCTTTATAATTATTTCTGTAATGATTTTACTTATTTTGAAGGTCTAGATAATATTTATTTTGACAGCTGAATGTAAAAATAAAGGTCTGCAAAAAAAAAAAAAAAAAAAAAACTGCGCGGGGTCCCTCCTCCCATCCATACCAAACCCTTCGGGTCTGGTATGTATATTAAGGGGTAACTCAATGCCGAAATGAAAAAAAAAAACAGTGTGGGGTTCCCCCAAAAATCCATACCAGACCCTTATCCGAGCATGCAGCCCGGCAGGTCAGGAAACGGGGGGGGACGAGCGAGCGCCCCCCCCCTCCTGAACCATACCAGGCCACATGCCCTCAACATGGGGGGGTGCTTTGGGGCAGGGGGGCTCCCCCCAAAGCACCTTGTCCCCATGTTGGGCAGGGGGCTTATCAGAATCTGGAAGCCTCCTTTAACAAGGGGGCCCCCAGATCCCAGCCCCCCCACGTGAATGAGTATGCGGTACATGGTCCCTCTACTAATTCACAAAAAAACAAAGTGTAGTGTAAAAAACCACAGGACACGGTCTTTGACAAGTCCTTTAATAAAACAATGTCCCCTGAAGTAGATCCAACGTCAATCACTGTGTCAGGCGCCAGTGAGCCGAAAAAAGAAAAAAAAAAAAACGTTACGCTCCTGACGGAGGCTCACCAGCCTTATGCAGTGAGCCAGGGTGATGTGTGGGGGGGGGGGGGGTGGGGGTGATGGATCTGGCCCCCTTATTAAAGCCCACAGCACCCCCCCATGTTCAGGGGTGGCCTGGTATGGGGGGGGGGGTGCTCGGGGTCGGGGATCTGATAAATGAAATTTGGGGGGAAAGTGCTGTTTTTTTTTATTTTGGTGTGGAGTTACCCCTTAATATCCATACCAGACCCAAGCTTGTATGGATGGGAGGGGGGACCCCACACTGTTTTTTTTTTTATTATGGTGCTGGTTTTTAAATGTAATTCTGGCTTTTTTGGTCTTCACAATAGCTCAGAAATTTAGCTGTCACTTCCCCGGCTCAAAGAGTAAGTTTTGTTTGAGTTTATTTCCTTAAAGGTAACAAGGTTGACTTTTAGTTAATTAAAATGAAGAAATTGTTCTGTAACTTTGGGGAAAGTGACAGCTAAGCTTGTGTACTATAGTGAAGGACAAAAAAACGCATTAGCCATTAGCATTGAAAAATCAGCGCACACATACACTTTGTATTGTGAACCAAATTATTTGAACATTTGTAAACCGACCAATTAATTTTATTTTCAAATGATTTTTATTAGGAATTTTTTGGTTTCTGAACAAAACATGTTATGTCATTATATAGAAACATTTGAGTACAGGGTTCACATAAATGAAACAACAACATATAGAATGAAAAAATGAGGTAATAAACCCCCACCATCCGGCTGGGAGTTCAAATTATCATAATCATACTTACAAGAGAGGTATTCTCATTGGATTGTGAACCTTACCGATGAATATGAAAACATAAAAGAACTAAACAGGGGATGAAAAGGGGTATAGGAAAGTGTGAGAGGGGGAGATGAGGGCACCAATGGACTACAATGTAGCATCTTATAAGGTTTAGGATTCGTAATCAGACAATTGAGCATTTGGGATGTTTTAGCCATCGAGACCAGTGTAATGTGAATTTATGGTAGGAGGAATTTCGGAGGGCCGTTCTTCGCTCCATCTCACATTGCAAGTTGAGATCAACTAGGAGGCGGGCTAATAAGGGGGGTGAGGTAGAACGCCATAGTCTCGTAATGTTAGTCTTTGCAGCTGCCAGGATGTGTATGATAATGATGCGTGAGCAAACGGGAAATTGATCTATCGTTAGATGAAGAAGGGCTAGCCCTGGATTAGGGGGTGTTGGGTAATCTGTGACTGAAGAGATTAATTGGAACACTTTATTCCAATAGGACTTGAGGGATTTGCATGACCATAGTAAGTGGAAGAGTGAACCAGTGTCACCACAACGCCTCCAACAAGTTTGCGATTGCTGTGGGTAATAAATGGATAATTTGGCAGGGGTTAAGTAGCATTGGTGGAGAATTTTTAAATAAGATTCCCAGTGGGAGCTACATTTCGAGGCTTTGTATGTGATGGAGAACGTCACTTGCCATGGTTGCGGGGTTGTTGGAAGAAGGAGATTTGTCTCCCAATTGGTAAGGGATGATGTATGAGTCATAAATTGTGCTTCAGTAAGTAATGTATAAAAGGTAGAGATTCCTTTCTTTGGATAAAAGGTTTTGTGGTAGAAATGGTGTGCAGTAGCAGGGAAGTCTAATTCAAGTGGAATATGCGTGTTATGGAGCAAATGGTAAATTTGCATAAAAGTGAATTGTTCCGTATCGGGAAGACAGAATCTTTTTTGAAGGGTCCAGAACGACTCGGGTTTATGATTGTTGTGAATATCTTGGATATAGCGCATACCCAACGTTTTCCAAGATTTTAGGTTCAAGTGGGGGGGTAAGAAGTGCAGAGAGGATATGGGAGTCGGGATTCGTAAATTAGTCTTAAGTGAATGAGTGTAAGTCAGGAAATCATGCCAAGCTATCAGAGAGGCTTGGATGCATGGGTGATTGTGTGAAGGTCTAATCTGTGTCGTACGAGGCGTAAATAATAGGTCTGTTAAAGTATTTGGCGAATACATGGCGGTTTCCATAATAGTCCATGTTTTGTCTTGGGTCGGGTGCCACCAGTAGTATAGCTGATCCAATATGGCTGCCTGATAATAGGATTTCAAATGTGGGAGGCCGGCTCCACCTCTGGAGGGCGGGCGTATCAGAAGGTTTGTAGAGCATCTAGGCCATTTAGAATTCCATAAGAATTTATTTAAAATTTTTTGAATTGTAGAGAAGAACGAGGAGGGTATAGGAACAGGCAATGTACGAAAGATATATAAAATTTTAGGCAATATACACATTTTAAGAGTAGCTATTCTGCCCAGCATTGATAACGTGGTTGTACGTAGGTTCCTAAGCTCCTGTGGAATCGTGTCAAGAAGTGGTTGAAAATTAGTTGCATAGAGTTGATTGGTTTTGGGAGTAAGTTTAATCCCCAGGTATGGGATATTATGTTTTTCCCATTTGAAAGGAAATTGTTTTGTAAGGAGGTTTTGGGTCAGAGCAGGGGTGTGAAGGTTTAAAATTAAAGATTTGGGTTCGTTAAGCTTATAATAAGATACATCTGCATAGTTTTGTATGTGCGTACACTCATTTGGCCAGTCACGGGGCCAAAACCAGAGTGTGGAGCCACAGTGTGGCGGTGGAGGCAGCAGCAATGGGAGGACATACAGCACCCTATGACAAAAATGGAAACCACCAGCAGTGTGAGGAGACCTGAAAGTGGCACATGGCAGAGTGTGGCGATAGAGACAGCAGCAATGGGAGGCCGTACAGGGACCCATGACACACTCTGGACCTGGCAGCAGCATGAGGAGGCGGTACAGGGGCCCATGGCAGATTACGGGCCTGGCAGCAGCATGAGGAGTCGGTACGGGGGCCCATGGCAGATTACGGGCCTGGCAGCAGCAATGGGAGGCCGTACAGGGACCCATGACACAATCTGGACCTGGCAGCAGCATGGGGAGGCGGTACAGGGGCCCATGACAGATTACGGGCCTGGCAGCAGCATTTGGAGTCGGTACGGGGGCCCATGACACACTCTGGACCTGGCAGCAGCATGAGGAGGCGGTACAGGGGCGCATGACAGATTACGAGCCTGGCAGCAGCAACTTGGACAGGAGGACGTTCAGTTTCTGCACCGTCTGGTGCGTGCTCGCAAACTGTTGTCTCTTGGAAACGGATTCCAAGAAAGACTGCTGACGGAATCCGTGAAGAGGAGTAGCAGGAGAAGGAGCATCTGAACGAGCGGAATATGCCAACAAGCGACAACAGGGGCCCATGGCAGATTAGGGGCCTGGCAGCAGCTATGGGAGGCCCGTAATCTGCCAGCACCCTATGACAAAAAATGGAACACACCAGCAGTGTGAGGAGACCTGAAAGTGGCACATGGCAGAGTGTGGCGATGGAGACAGCAGCAATGGGAGGCCGTACAGGGACCCATGAGAGACTCTGGACCTGGCAGCAGCATGAGGAGGCGGTATAGGGGCCCATGGCAGATTAGGGGCCTGGCAGCAGCTATGGGAGGCCCGTAATCTGCCAGCACCCTATGACAAAAAATGGAATACACCAGCAGTGTGTGAGGAGACCTGAAAGTGGCACATGGCAGAGTGTGGCGATGGAGACAGCAGCAATGGGAGGCCGTACAGGGACCCATGAGAGACTCTGGACTTGGCAGCAGCATGAGGAGGCGGTATAGGGGCCCATCAGGCAGATTAGGGGCCTGGCAGCAGCTATGGGAGGCCCGTAATCTGCCAGCACCCTATGACAAAAAATGGAACACACCAGCAGTGTGAGGAGACCTGAAAGTGGCACATGTTTGGGGCATGATTCATGGCGGATTTAGTCAGTTGTGTCAGGAACTGGTGGTTTGAAATCCAGACTAATCCACGCCTGATTCATTTTCACAAACGTCAGTCTCTCCACACTTTGGGTGGACAGTCGTGTCCTCGCGGAGTTGCAATAACCTCCTGCCGCACTAAACACGCGCTCCGATGCCACGCTACTGGCTGGGCATGACAGCCTTTCAAGGGCAAATTCAGCTAGTTGGGGCCAAAGGTCAAGTTTCGTTGCCCCCAGTAGTCAAGGGGATTGTCTACCTCGGTTGGCAGGGTGCTGTCCAAGTAGGACTAAGCCTGTTGTTTGAGGTCCTGCTCCAGGTCCACCTGATGCTGCTGCTGCTGCTGCGCGGCTGGTTAGTAGTTTCTTCACTGCGCTGGTGAAGAAAGCTACTCATCATCGACTGCAGACTGAGGCAGCCGCTGCTGGTGGAGCTGCCACTGCTCCTACCACCCCACCCCTCCCCTGCTGCCATGGCAGCGGAACGCGAGCGCACAGGGCCCACAGTGTCTGAGGATGGACGTTGGCGCAGACAGGCAGA